TTTCTAAATGAAGCACCCAAAGTTACCCGTCCCCTCGTGGATAAAAGTCCATCCATATGGGATCGGTCCAGAACAAGGCCCCAAAGCCTGCCACAAGTCTAAAGCATCTTCCAGTGGGGACCCACAGAAAAGGGTCACAAACAACCGGACAAGCCCGGAAGGAAAAGAGCAAAATCAACATCAAGATAAAAGCTGCCATTGTCACCTCCCCACAGGTCTCACCCACATCTGTGTCACCCAGTCTGTTATAGGACAGGGAGAGGGGTAGCCCAAGCCCCGCAAACCTGCCTATTCTAAATGGGTTCTGCCATCCGCCGCATCAACACAAAACATATGACGCTTTAATGGGAAGGAACTTTAATAAAAACTAGGAAACAATACAGGTAAGGCAAAGAGTCTAGTTTCTAAATGAAGCACCCAAAGTTACCCATCCCCTCGTGGGTAAAACTCCATCCATATGGGGTCGGCCCAGAGCAAGGCCCCAAAGCCTGCCACAAGTCTAAAGCATCTTCCAGTGGGGACCCACAGAAAAGGGTCACAAACAACCGGACAAGCCCGGAAGGAAAAGAGCAAAATCAACATCCAGATAAAAGCTGCCATTGTCACCTCCCCACGGGTCTCACCCACATCTGTGTCACCCAGTCCACAACCCAAAAGACAAGCGCAGTTTCTTCACATGTCTCTAGGCTCCATGTGCCTCCTCCAGGTCTCCTTGCCCCATCCTGCTTCCTTCCTCAGTCTCTTCTGCAGCTTCTTCTCTTGCTGCTCAGCTCCACCCTCCCTTGGGTGGGGCAGGGAACCTCCCCCTTTCCTGGGGACCACCCTGTTGCAAGTCCAGGACCAAAAGACAAGCGCAGTTTCTTTACGTGTCTCTAGGCTCCATGCGCCTCCTCCAGGTCTCCTTGCTCCATCCTGCTTCCTTCCTTCCTCAGTCTCTTCTTCTGCTTCTCCTCTTCCTGCTCAGCTCCACCCTTCCTTGGGTGGGGCAGGGAACCTGGAACCTCCCCCTTTCCTGGGGACCACCCTGTTACAATACTACCCGACTTCTATATTTAATGTAAAGAAACAGTAGTCAACAAGTGTGCTTTGACAAAAACATGGAGAACTAGATCAGTAAATGGACTAGAGCCCAGAAATAGATCTACATATAGTCCCTTGACCTTGACAAAGGAGCAAAAGCAAAACAATGGTGCCAAAATAATATTTGCACGAAATGGTGCTGGAACAATTAGAATCCACATCCAAATAAAAATGTACCTGGATACAGCTAGCATACCCTTCAAAAAAGTAAATTAAAATAATATACTTAGGGCCTTTGTAGTGGCCCAGTGATAGAGTCTCAGCGCTATCACTGCTAAGGCCTGAGTTCGACCCCCCGGCCAGGGAGCTAACCCACATGGTGCAGCAGACCTCTCCTGTCTCACCCGCTGCTCCCCTCAGCAGCGTATGTCAGTGAATCTGTCTGTTCTGCTCCCCATTCTGTCTTTGGTGGATCCTCTCACCCACCCCCCCACCTCTGGCCTGCACACCAGTTCTTCTATGCATAAACAAATAATCTTTAAAAATATAAAATAAAATGATATACTTATATGAAAATTGCAAAATTATAAAACTCTTAGAAAACAATACAGTAGAAAATTTAGATGACTCTAGGTATGCTAATGATTTTTCAGATATAATACCAAATGTGGAACCAAGCATAAGTGTTCATAGACATTGCTTTGTGTAACTGCCATTTTACAATTTAAGGTTTTGCTGGGTAAAGACTGCATTCCAGAGATAGTTTGGACCCTCACTCCACCTTTACTCTCTGGTCACCAATGAGGGCGAACTAGCTGTAATTGGAGCTGCATCTTGGCCTAGCCAGTCAGCTTAGAATGATAGCCGGGCAAAGTTGGAGAACGCATCCTTGTAGCCAATGAGTAACTGCCAGCATAATTTAACCTTATTAAAAGACCCCTGCTTCTTTTGTTCAGGGCTCTCGGTATCTGCCACTGCGTTGGTAGGTGCCGTGAACCCGGACTCAACTCGAGTCTGAAATAAACTCCCTTTTGTGTTTGCATCAGCTGTCTTTGGGTTCTTGGAGGCTATGCTTGCTGAGTCTGCTGACCTTGGGCACAACACCAAAGACATGATCTATGAAAGAAAGAATAAACTGGATTTCATTCATTGTATTATAAATACATAAAGTTTCTGCTTTGTAAATAAAAAGACAAACCATAGGTTGGAAGAAAATATTTGCAAAAGACACATTGACGAAGGATCGTTATCCATAATAGCTGAAGAACTCCTAAAACTCAACAACAATGACAATAAAAAATAGCCCTATTAAAAGTAGGACTCAGGCCTGCCTGTGACTATGTAAGTGCCATTCTTTTTCTCTCTCCTTTTCCTAACCAGTCCTTTTAAAATGTAAAAAAAAAAATAATAATAATAGGTCTCATATATTCCACCTGTTTATCTACCTAGGTGTCTGTTTCGGTCTTTGACCCTTTTATACATATATATGTGTATGTGTATGTATGTGTGTGTATATATTTATATAATTATAATGTATTATAAATATGTATTAATAATATAATTATATTAATGTAGATATAAATATATACATATAATGTAATTAGTACTATTTATTTTATATTAATAAAAGTAACAAATATATATTTATATATGGTAGAGATGTTCCACCCCTTATATTATTAAATAAAGTAACTCAAAACAACACAACACTGATTTACCACTCTACACCTAGTATAATGGTCAAAATCAAGATCACTAACAACAACAAATGGTGACAAGGATGTGGAAAAACAGGAACTCTCATTCTTTTTTTTTTTTTTAAAGATTTATTTATTTATTTATACAAGCACTGGGTACAGTCAGAAGTGCGGGAGGGTGAGAGGATTCACCAGAGCCAGAAAAGGGAACAGAATAGGCAGACTGACGAAATACACCACTGAGGTGAGCAGCGGGTGGCAGGAGAGGTCTGCGCACCATGCGGGACCCTTGCCCGGCGGCCGGGGATCAAACCAGTGTTGCAGAGGCTGCGGGCAGCTTCGCAGCCCAGTGCTCAACCATTGCACCACCAGGGAGGCCCAGAACTCTCATTCTTGCTGGTGAATGAGATGAAATGAAAAATGTTGCAGTCATTTTGGAAGACAGTTTGGTTGGTTGTTACAAAACTAAACGTACTTTTCTATAATTCAGCAATTCTGCTCCTTGATTTTACCCAAATGATCTGCGAACTTACGCACTTACAAAAACCTATACACAGATGTCTTTGGCAGTTTATTCATAATTTCAAAACTGGAAGTAAGTAATATGTCTTTCAGTAGGTGAATGGATAAATAAACTATGATTCATCTAGACAATGGAATGTTACTCAGTTCCAAAAAATAATGTAAAGACATGGCAGAAACTTAAATACTACTTAAATATTACTAAGTGTAAAAAGCTAGACTGAAAGCTATATGGGAAGGTCCATTCAAAATGAATCACATTTTGAAGAATTACTCAGTGAAATTTATTATCTCCAATTACTTTAGGGAAGACTCAGTATGCCTTTACAGTACCCAATAAAGCAAGCCTACAGCAATAGCAACAAAGTCAGTAAATAGAGATTCAACAATATGACTAAAACATATTTAATGTCTACATTTAGAACACTGCTTACAACATTGTTGTCATTGTGTCTGGAATGATTTAAAGAAAACCTGAGGCTGGCCACAAGGGAACTGAGCATTTGGTCAGGGGCAGCCAAGTGGTTGGGGATTATTGGTGGATAATTAAGGCGAAGGGAGGAGGAGATGCTGAAGGTGTAGGTGAGGGCATGAAGACATGCCCTTGGAGAGCCTGTCAAGGGGTCAGCCTAAGACAGAACTGTCTTCACTAGTCACAACTCTCCTCAAGGTTGGATTGAAATAAGATGATTCAAGTTGCCCTCGTGTCTCCTGCTTTCTAAACTTCTTCATCCCTTTATTTTCTCAAGACACTTATCCTATTCCAGTATTTTCAGCACTTGAGATTTCAAATAGTTATTTTTGATTTCTGCCTTTAACTCCTTACAGACAGCTATCACAACTTCGTCTCGTATCCAATTTAAACACATTTCTCACTGGCTGTGTGCCAGGTGCTCTTGTGGAAAATGGATTACAGGCACGAATAGCATATGGTCAGAGAGGGTCCTGCATCAGCATAGGAGCAGGGAAAAGCTTAAGAATATTCTAGAAGTTGTGACTGGAGCTTCTCTGAGCCTCAGATGGCTTAACTTTTGGTTATACAGAGAATAGGGAAGCTCTACCCATCTTCCTGGAGTCTTGCTCATTCCTTTATCCTTTCTTTCATTTCTGTCATCAATCTTGCTCTGCTGGTTGTTTCATACCAACCTCTAAACATGCTCAGGTACCCCATTCTAAATGTAGTCTGGTTTCTGTGTCCTTGGGCTCCCAACCTCCTTTATTGTTTTCACTACAATAATTCTAAAAAGGGGTCCTTTCAAATTCATTCTTTTCCAAATATTTACCTCATGCTTTTCCTGACACCTTCCTTCATTTTCATGGTGTTTCTAGACTCTAAATATTACATTGCATAAGGTTTTCCCCACTTTCTCTGCTAGGGGCTCTGTACTGTAGACCTAGCTCTAGTTTCTCCTCATTTGTGAAGCTAGTACCTCTCTTTTCTGTGCTTATAATGGCACCCATTACGTATTGTGAATCATAATAACAATTTTAAGCTTTTCCTCAGGTGTTAACTCCTGGATAACAGTGACAGTTAAAGAAATCCATGTACCCTGGTATGCTGTAAAGGACTGCTGCTGCATGAACCACACTTTCTCATTAAGAGTTAGATAAAACTCTGCACAAGGGACTCTGCACATTCAGCATACAGCTGTCCTTAAAGAGCCCCTCCTGTGAACCAGCTGGCCTCTGGGAAAAAATTCCCTAATGATTCTACTCCCTCCATAACTTGTTTTCTAAGCTTGTAGGACCTTCCCCATAAAAGAAAATTCCTTTCTGTCTGGCCTTGAAGAAGGTTGCAGCTCTGTGGTGAGTTGTTTCCCTTATTTAATAATCTCCCCTTACTGCAGTAATGCTATCAAATACAGTTTTGTTTTGTTTTTTTTAATTTATTTATTTATACAAGCACTGGGTACAGTCAGAAGCGCGGGAGGGTGAGAGAATTCACCAGAGCCAGAGTGGGGAGCAGAGCAGGCAGAAGGACCGAAGTACACTGCTGAGGGGAGCAGTGGGTGCAGCAGGAGAGGTCTTCCTGCCATGTGGGACCCTCTTCGGTGGCCGGGGAGCAGCCGGGGATGGAACTGGTGCTGCAGAGGCTGCGGGCAGCTTCGCAATCCAGCACTCAACTGCTGTGCCACCGGGGAGGCCCACAGTTTGGTTTTAAACCTGTCCCTATGTTTCGTTTATCTGTCTGGGTAGATATGTGCACCTTTCTTGCCAGATTTGGAAATGGGTTTTGGAACAATGATAGAGTCACGCTTGTGTTCTGAGCATGTCCTGCCCTGCCTCTGTCTCTCTTGCTCCCCATGAGGGTTTCCATCAGTTTGTTGCTATTTCAGTCTCAGAGTCTGCTGTTGTAGCTCCCTGTCTACCCCATCTTCCTCCTTCCTCACCTACCTGTCTCCTAAGCAAACTTCAGACTTCAGCTTGAACCAGAGAGACCTGCCTATAGAGTAGATTCCTTAGAGTGCGGAGTCTGGCAGGCTTCTGACTCATGTGGGAAGCACAGACTTTGATTTCCTGTGAAAGAGGAACTGAGCTTATCCTCTGAGCAGGGAGTAGTTTCACAATTGTTTTTTTTTTTTTAGAACTGATCTAAAGGAATTGTATTAGTCTGCTTATTTATTTTGTTGGGATTTCTGAGTTTTAATATACTGCAATTTGAAGACTAATATTGGTGTGTGTGTGTGTGTGTGTGTGTGTGTGCATGTGTGTGCCAACGGTGGGGCTGGGGTGAGCACAAGATAATGAACATAGCAGAAACAGGATAAGGAAAGAATTTGGGAGAACAGACCTGGGCACAGAGAGTGTCTTCCTCAGGGAAAGCTCCTTAAAATGCTCCCCCACTGTTTGCATTTTCAGGCCACCCAAGGACAAAGGGGGAGGCACATCCCAGTGCTGAGACAGCAGGTTAGTCTTCATGTCCCTCCAAAGCGCCTTTTTACTGGAGGTAGCTCTTTTCCACAGTGGTTGTTTTGGAAATTAGCAAAGTTTCTATCACTGTATTGGCTGACCTGGGTGCTGTCCACAGTTAAAGTGAGAACAATCTAAGAGCATTTTTGTGTTTTTTATGGAGGGAAAGTGAACTTCCCCATTCTCTTTGACTTTAGAACTTTTTAACAATATTATTTCTGACAGTTTTCCCTCACCCTTACTTTCATGCAGAGCTTTGTTTTGTTGGTTACTGTCGTTCTCCATGTTCTTATTCATGGTAATGTTGCTTGTAGATCAAGGCCCCTGCCCACGGTTCTGTTTCCACCTTCAGATGTCTACACACGCCTGCTTCCAGGGAGACTCCACTCTCACTTTCCCATTTGCTCCGGAGATCCTCCCCACGCCATCTGTGTCCTGCTCCCACCCTGGGCACCTGCTTACCTGGCCTGGAGGACCTGCCCTGTGCTCCTCTGCGCTGCGCTCCCAGAGCTCTCCCCTTGGCGCAGAACCCCTCTCACAGGCCGCACTGTGGGGTTCGTGGGCTGCCTGATGTCTCCAGGCCCCAGACTTTAGCCCTCCCGCTTTCCTAAGCCCTCCCAGTTGTGGGAGACTCTGTCAGTCATCATCACACCTCAGTTCCCACACGGTGCCTGAAACAGATGAGCAAGAAATGTGTGATGAATGAATAAGGAGATGAGCCTGTCTGAGCTGGTTTCCTCATTTGTGTGTGTGCGTGGCTGTAGGTCGGGTCACATGAGTAAATGGGACAAACAGGAATTGGCAGAGTCTTACCAGTGAGATTTCCCTTAAAGGGGGAGCACAGGTGTTTTCTACTAAGCAGGAGTTTTCATGTCAGTCGGAGATTTAAGTCTAGGATCCAACAGCTATATAACCTGAGTCTTGGGTGTGGAGACTGGGTGACCTACTGAGTTTTGGGGGATATTTTCCCCATTCTATGCTGGGTCTTGTATCCTGGCCTGTTTTTCCTATCAGCTGTGCTAGACTCTCTAGAGGATACAGTGTGTTCCAAAGTACCCTGTATTCTCTAGTTGAGCATATTTTCTGTAGATGGTAAAATCTCAGGAAATATTGGAAAAGTTAATAAAGAAGATAAAGCAATCACTTGGCCTTAATTATCAGACTCAAAGACAAGTTCATTTCAACACAGTTGGCACCTGTTCCTCATGTCAACCCTCAGTACTGAGAATGACATTGGGTTCATGTTTCAGTCCTGTCTCACTTTCCAGAAATGTTTTTTTAGTTAGTTTTTTTTTTTTTTTTAACAAGAAGAATGTCTGCTCAGTGATTAATGAATTTTTTTTAAGGTGTGAATGAATGTTTTTAAGGTGTGAATGAATTTTTTTTGTACGGCCTTCCAGTTCCTTTTTTTTTGATGTAAATGTAATTCTGAAGATTTTATTTGTAATAAAAGATGAAGCTTAGAACTGGATCACCTGGCCCTTTCTCTTTCTTATGTCCTCCAAGTTCAAAATGCTTGCATCTCTTAATAGCCAACATTTTCTTAGATCTGCAGTTGGGCTCAACACATTCAAGTCTCAGCACAATCTTCTTTGTACTTTTAGCATTTTTCCGGAAAATTGGCTTAGTCTGTCCACCATAGCCACTCTGCTTCCTGTCATATCACCGCTTTCCCTGGGCATAGAGAGAATCCTTGCCCTTCTTGTACTGTGTCACTTTGTGGGGCTGAACCTTGCCACACTTCTTACAGAAGGTCCGGTGGGTTTTAGGAATGTTCACCATGATTGCGAGAGCGCTATTGTCAAGGAAAGAAAGATCTCAGCCTTCCGGTTCTTCTAATAGTTTTCAATATACCTCAGTTCATCATTTAACACTACCAACATAATTCATGATTCATGAGAATGTACATTGATTTTCTGTTCTATTTGTGTCTAGATAGGCCAGAAATGGCAGGCTGTCTACCCCAGAGAGTGTCTGTAGGGTCGAGCTGTCCAAAGGCTGCTTGTGCAAGATGGTGCTGTCCCTTTGACAAACTCTTGGTGCTGGTAGCACACTGGTAAGCAGTAGACTGAAATCCAACCAACTCACAGTGACAGATGGAGGTGTTGCCAGGTGTGGCTGCTGAGGTGACACTGCAACCTCTAAGGGGAAACCATTAATAAACTAAAAAGGTTAATACATTTAATTATTTTTTATTACTATCAAAAAAGCCCCACTTTTTTCAAGCCCTCAAGCTCGGTAAATAATACTATCCTTCTTTGATTTCACTTCTCTTCCTTAAGATGTAAGTTAGAGATCTTTTGAATTTGGTAAACAGTATAATCTCATCAATTATAAGTTTACATATATGTACAGTGAGATAACTAAAATAAGATCTTGCTTTCAAGGATCTTATAAAATATTTTTTAAAGTTCAATTTAAAGGGTTGACTTTTTAGTTACTTACTTTGAAAATAAGGTTCTGTAAGTGTGCTGAGTGGAAGTATCCTCTAGCCACAGTGTGAAGGCCAGGCTAGACATCAACTGGATGCTAGATCAACACCAGGAGGCGTTGTCAGAGGATCAGAGGTGCTGGGCAGCATTCAAAGGTGGCCAGATACTGGTTGGCAGTGCCAGCATTGACTCTATATAAACTGCCAAAATTAACTCTATTAATTAATTAACTAAATTATTAATTAATTAATTAGTTCTATTAATTAAATACCTGCATCTCTATAGAGAAACTCTGTGATTGTGGGAATAGACCTCCTAAGAAAAATAACACACAAAACTTTCATTTTATTTAAACATTTTAAAAGCATATTCACAAGCCCAATCAGGGACAAAAGAACCAAAAGATTGTACTTGCCTTATATTCATTTGCATTTCAACTTTAAAAAGAATGAAAAATAACTGGATTTTTAAAATAAGAATGAAATGATTTCATGTAAGTAAACTACACAACCAACATAAGGAACAGGATTCTGCAAGATTGAGATGAATAACAAAAAGAATGTTTGTGTGAAGTGTTATTTTGAAGACTTATCTGATACTTCCTTAAGAAATATTGAAAGGGCCTCCCCTGGTGGCTTAGTGCTGGGCTGCAGAGCTGCATGCAGCCTCTGCAGTACCGGTTCAATACCCTAGCCGCAGGCGAGGGTCCCCATGGCACGCAGACCTCTCCTGCTGCACCCGCTGCTCCCCTCAGCAGTGTATTTCATCCGTCTGCCTGTTTTGTTCCTCGCTTGGCTCTGGTGAATTCTCTCACCCTCCTGCGCTTCTGATTGTACCCAGTGCTTGTATAAATAAATAAATCTTTTTTAGAAAAAAAAAAAAAAAAGAAATATTGATAGTCCTTAAGTAATTCCTGGGCCCTGTGGGAATCAGTATTGCAGAAATTTGCCAGGCCCCTACACAATGCTAGAAATAAGTTCTATCCAACTGAAATAAATGAAATTTGTTTCACACACACAAAACAACAACAACAGTAACTCATAAAACAGTGCAAGAGTCTATGGCAGGAGCCATGACCTATTGCTTTTCTTTACTCTGAGCAGATATAATGAGTAAGTTGTCACTCCTCCTTCCTCGGTTCCTGTGAAAGGATATGGTATCTTACTGGGAGGGTCAGGCAGCTGGTGGTTCTCATCCCCTCTAATTCCAAGTTGCATGAGACTGCTTTTGTAGGTTAGGGTTCCTATTGTGCCAGCATGCTCGTGACAGGTTCACTATTCGGCAGACAGATAAAGGAGACTCCTGGAGCCCTTGGTCTATTTTTCAGGCTCTGACGCTCTCTCAGGGAACCAGGAACACAGGCACACCAGGCAGGGAGGCCCTCAATGTGCAAGGAGGTAGGCACGGGCCGTGCAGTGGGAACTGGGAGGCCGGCAGGCAACTGAACCTTCCAGAACCTCCACAAATCTTTACGCTCTCTTTCTCTCTTTGGGCTCTGGCTTTCTCTCTCACATCTTCATGTGGGCTCATACTCTGGTAGCGACCTGTCTCTGAGTGATGCCACCTTATATCCCTGACCACTAGGTTCAGGTGTGCACACTTGCATATGCACGTGCACACCCACCTGTCAGGTGTCCAAAGTCAGGCACTCATGCCTGGTAACCACACGCCTGCATCAAGACAATCAAGGACACAGGTGATAGCCATAGAGGCTAATGGTACAAAAAACCTGATTTATTACATTTACCCTGCAGTTCCCTTCTTCCGCCACGTCCCACCCTTAGGCATAGAGGTTCTACCACAGGGTTGGCAGCTGCAAATGCTGGGGTCTCAATGGACCTTGTCTCAGCTCACTTGTAGGCCAGAGAAGCTCCATACATAGCAAGAATAGCCAATTAAGACAATTAGTCTCACTCAGTACTTGTATCAGCAACTCAGGATATATCCTAGGTTAAAAGGCAGTTCATCAGGAACTGCCCAGTGATGCAGCAGTTTGAGAACAGTGCTGTGGAACTGTCTGCAGCCTCTGCAGCGCCGGTTTGATTCCTGGCCTGCCAGGGCGATTCCCACATGGCGCGGCAGACCTCTCCTGTCTCGCGCCCGCTGCTCCCCTCAGCAGTGTATTTCAGTCCTTGTGCCTGTTCTGCTCCATGCTCTGTCCGTGGTGAATCCTCTCAAGCTCCTGCGCCTCTGGCTTGTACCCCAATGCTAGTATAAATAACTAAATCTTAAAAAAAAGGGAAAATAGAATTTCAGATTGAGCAAGATTGAGTTCTAAAAAATAAAAGGAAATATATTGTATAGTAGTATTTAAATTTTTTTGGGGGGGAAACACATCTTTGTGATTTTTTTCTACCATAAATTTTTATTTTAGTTGCCAGGCTGTATGCAGCCTGGCTTCTGTACTTCCTATTATATAGAATCAATTGCATGGAGAACATTAGGCAAGGCTTAGCATTTGAAAAGACACATGAGTTTGGCAACTAATATTTATTTTAAACATAAGTGGTGCCAATTACCTTTCCTTTGTTAGTTTCTACAAGCCCATGCTGAGTGTTTTCCTTTCTATTTCTCTGCCATCTAATTTTACATCAGTTTATGATGTTTATCTATTTGCCTACACATGTTTGAATTTTAAAATATTTTGTTTGTAATTAATTTTTTTTAAAGATTTATGTATTTGTTGATCCATTTATTGATTTATACATACAAGCACTGGGTACAATCAGAAGAGCGGGAGGGTGAGAGAATTCACCAGAGCCAGAGCGGGGAGCAGAGCAGGCAGAAGGACCGAAGTACACTACTGAGGGGAGCAGTGGGCGGCAGGAGAGGTCTGGGCACCATGTGGGGCCCTCCTCTGGTGTCCGGGGAGCAGCCGGGGATCGAACTGGCACTGCAGAGGCTGTGGGCAGCTTCGCAACCCAGCGCTCAATCTCTGCGCCACTGGGGAGGCCCCTGGTTTTAATTAATTAATTAACTTTTCAAATGAGGTAACATTGGGATCCTCTCACTACATATCACCACCACATTTGCTCTTTAAAATGGGCTCGGAGATATTAGCATCGTGGTAGCTAAGATTTTCCTATTTTTGGCCCCCTTGTCTTTAAACAAATAATTAGAATTTTATTCACAACAAAGGTGTCCCCTTGGGAGATGTGGGTGTAGCACCAAATGCCTAAGGACCTGGGAGGAGTCACGCCCC